ACAGCCTGGGGTTGCGATCAATTGGGAAGAGAGTTCCCCCCAGCCGCTACAGCGAACTGAGTATCTGGGGATTGTGCTCAACTACAACACTCCTAGAGTGTATCTGTGCGCTTGGTGGTCCACAGGCTGCAGCAGGGGACAGCTGCGGCAGCGCTGTCAGTGATGCTGCTGTTGGGATTGCTCCACACACTGGACCTCAAGAGGCAAAGGTGATGCATGGTGACCCCCCCCCCCCCCCTTCCTTTCAACTCTAGTGCAGGAGGACCTGCGATTCTGGGGGTCTCTCACTGTTTGGCAGCGTGGGTGCTGCTTGGCACGGTGTCTTCATCCGTATCAGTCTTCATAGATGAGTCTCTCAATGGATGGGGAGGGACCTGCCAGGAGAGTGCAGTGAGTGTTGTGATGTTGTGGCCACACACCACACATCCACGGTCCACTCCGCTGTGTTTCTAGTTTGGTGGTGCATTTCCTCCAGCGCATACATCAACAGACAGGGCGAAGTCCAATCCATGGCTCTGTTGGCGCTGGCAGGGAACCTGTAGACGTGTGCATCAGAACACCTGCTGTCTCTTAAAGCCCTTCATGTCCCAGGCTTGGAGAACGACTGTGGCTGACCTCATGTTGAGGGCTGGCCTCCAACCGAGCGGGTGGAGACTGCACAACAATGTGGTTCAGCAGATCTGAGCTCGCTTCGGGAGAGCGGTAGTAGATCTTTTTGCCAACACCCACTGCCTGCTGTGGTTCTCAATTCAGCCACAGGACCACCCACCCTTGGGATGGACACGTTACACATGTGCAATTGCCAGAAGGGCTGCTGTTTGCGTCCCGTTTCTCTTTCCTGCAAGGTCTGATGGAGAAGGGGCTGTCGCGCTGCAGCTATCTCTCCTGTCACAGGGGGTTTGATGACAGAACAGTCTTCACCCACTCCCTCGTGATGCGCTTTCTGCAGGGTGTGAGAAGACAGCGACTGGTATCGTGTCTCTCGTCGCCTCAGTAGGACTTGCTGCTCATGTTGGTGGCTCTAATATCTGCACCTTATGAGCCCCTGGAGCAGTCCTGCTATCTCTTGTACAGCCCTGCGCCTTGCTCTCACCTCTGCTAAGAAGGTGAGTGAGCTGTGTGCCTGTTGGTTCAACCTAGCTGCATGCTGGTTCTTGGTGTCCACAGTGCAGCCAGATTGAGACAACACACCTCCTGAAGTCCACGATCATCTCCACAGTTTTGAGTGTGTTAAGCTGCAGGTTGTTCTGACCGCACCAGAGAGCCAGCTGATCAACCTCCCGTCTGTAGGCCGACTCATCACCGTCCCGGATGAGGCCGATGACCGTTGTGTCATCATCAAACTTCAGGAGTTTGACAGATGGGTCCCCTGAGGTGCAGTCGTTGGTGTAGACGGAGAAGAGCAGTGGGGAGAGCACACACCCCTGGGGGGCGCCAGTGCTGATAGTCCGGGTGCTGGATGTGATGTTTCCCAGCCTCACCTGCTGACTCCTGTCAGTCAGGAAGTCTGTGATCCACTGACAGGTGGAGGCTGGCACAGTGAGCTGGGTGAGTTTGGTGCTGAGGATGTCCGGGATGATGGTGTTGAACACCGAGCCGAAGTCCACGAACAGGATCCTAGCATATCCCTGCAGGGGGTCCAGCAAGGGGCCTGTAATGTCCTTCAGGTGGGCCAACACCAGTCTTTCAAAGGACTTCATGACCACAGATGTCAGGGCGACAGGCCTGTAGCCATTTAGTCCAGAGATGGAGGATTTTTTGGGGACCGGGATGATTGTGGAGCGTTTGAAGCAGGAGGGAACTTCACACAGCTCCAGTGATCTGTTGAAGATCTGTGTGAAGATGGGGGTCAGCTGGTCTACACAGATTTTCAGGCAGGATGGAGACACACCGTCTGGGCCACCAGCCTTCCAGATCTTCTGCCTTTGGAAGAGGTGGCTCACGTCCTCTTCACAGATCTTGAGTGCAGGTGAGGGATCAGAGAACAGGCCTGTAACTCCAGCTTTGACTCGTTGGTCCATCTTTTCACACTCTTTACAACAGGTTTAGCAGATTTCAGTCGCTGCTTGTATGTTGGAATAAGATGAACCAGACAGTGATCAGTTAGTCCCAAGGCTGCGCGGGGGACAGAGTGATATGCATCCTTTAATGTTGTGTAGCAGTGGTCCAGTGTGTTAGTGTCCCTGGTGGGACACTTAATATGCTGTCTGTACTTTGTTTCATGACTGAGGTTTGCTTTGTTAAAGTCACCAAGAACAATGAGCAGGGAGTCTGGATGTTTTTTCTCCACTTTAGTTATCTGGTCGGCCAGGTGGCCTCACTAACACAGGCCTGAGGTGGAATATAAACAGCAACCAGAACAAACGAGGAAAAGTCCTGTGGTGAATAAAACGGTTTACAGATCATAAATAATGTCTCTAAATCCCGGTAGGTGAAGTGCGCTGTCCAGGATTTGGTGAAACAGAGGGCAGCAGATCTGCGAAAGTCCGAGTTAGTTCTGTTAAGGAGAAGCAGTTCATCCATTTTGAGAGCGGATATTCGTGAATATCGTGAATTGAAGGGAGCGCAGTGGGAAAACCCCGCTGTCTCAGTTTAACCAGCATGCCTGCTCGTTTTCCCCTACACCGTTTTCCGAAGGATCCCAAACAGAGCTGCCGCTCCTCCAACTAATAACTCCGGGAAAGTTCCAGGTTCGTTAAGGAGCGGTGGAATAGTAAGAGCAGTTGAAAGTCCAATATTTAAGATCTCTTCTCTGGTAAATGTAACCAGAGAGGGACTGCAGAAAACAGAGTTGATAAACAAAAACACGAAAGGCACTACGGAGCGTAATCCAGAGGCTGCCGTCTGCGGCGCCATCTTGATAGTACACCTCAAACACTACCTGCTCTGGAGCAGTGTAACCCCAAACCCTGCTTTGTAGTACAAATGTCAGAAAGCCTCGCATTTCTCATCACTATCATCATCCTCATCTTCCCCTAACTAATCACTGAGCTAATCATTGAATCTGAGTTTTTGATCATTCTCTGTGGGTTTGTTGTTACTAGCAACCATTTTCACATTGTCCACACATTCTGTATTTGAAATATAAAAACACTGTTTACTTCAGGCTCATGTTGCAGCAAATTACTCCATACATTCTCATGTATGTATTATGTCATCTGGATGTTGTGGTTTTGGGTTTTGTTGAGTTGTACATCCTCTTCTGTTTAAGTATCTATATTTAATTTATCCCTGTCTCTGTGTTTTTGTTATTGTGTTATTTATTCTTCATTTCCTGTTTAACTGTGTTAGTTTCCTTCCCTCTTGTTTATGTTCTCTTCACTTCCTGTCTCTGGCTTTCCAGTTTGTTCCTCCTCCGAAAAAAATAGTAGTTAAATAAGCTATATTTTCAACATAAAACACATAAATTTAACATTTTCCATTTAGAACAACATTTTCAGTACATTTAAATTCTGAATGTGTTTTTAAAAAAAACAAAGATATCCCCCAACATAAATACAATATACTATATAACATTTACCTAAACCTAAAACCCTAAAACCACACAAGTCTATAATTTTTAATATTTTTAATAATGTTCCTGATACTTTTTTATTGTGTTTTATTCTTTCAAACGCTTAAAATAAAACATTATACATCAGTACATTTAATAATTATGTTTGACAGCTAGCCTGGCTCCAATAATTAATTCATTTTTTCCCATTTCCAGACTTTGTGTGGAGCTAATCCACAACTGTCAGTAGTTCATAATAACAAAAGAAGCTAAGTTTGGTTGTAGCCAGTAAATTAATTTAATATAAAGATCAAGCGCAGTAAATATTTAAGATCTTAATATATTATGTGGAGAATTAAACATCTACATGAATTACTTTTGCACACTTTGCACACATTAAGCTTGATAATCCTCGAGTCATATTTGCTGTTGGGCTCATATTGACCACATATAATGAGGCTGCAACTTGCAATATAGCAATCCAGCCTTGACTGTACAAAAATACTGCACGTACAACTGTTTTACATAAACCAGAATAACATTATATCAAAATTGTTGTCCACAGACAGAGGAAAAATTGCACAATGCTTTTATATAAAAAATGTCCAGGAGTCATAAGAGACAAAACTGGCTCTTTGTCAGATGACAAAATACAAACATACTTTTCCCAAAAATAACCAGACTAAGAATTTGGGAGCAACACTGCTGGCTCTGTGAGGCTGCTGTGAGCTAAATGCTAACCACAGCACACTAACATGCTGATGTTTAGCTGGTATAATGTTACTTTGTTAACATGCACTAATTAGCTTAGTACAGCTGTTGTTGATGGGAATGTCATTATAGGTTCAATGCCAGGACCGGAGGGCTCTATGCGCGGGTGATTAAAACTGCTCAGATGATCAATGGTACCCATCTCCCGAGAATCAGTGATATCGGTGAGCTGAGGTGCCTACGCAGAGCCCAAAGGATACTAAAGGACAGTACCCACCCAGCCACAGCCTGTTGGAAGAGATCTAGAAGTTTCTGCTGTCGCACCACCAGACTGCAGAGCAGCTCTTCCCCCCAAAGCTATCAGACTCTTAAACTCTAATTCATCCTCAGCACTGCTCCTTTGATCATTGAATATTGTTTATTTCTGTTTACCATTTTTACAACTGCTTCTGTGTTAATGTATGTTGTTTGCTACATAGCAGAAGGGAGTTACAAAGCTCAATTTCATTATAAATGTAAATGCTCCGTACTTGTATAGCGCCTTTCTAGTCTTTTTCGACCACTCAAAGCGCTTTTACACTACATCTGCATTCACCAGTCACACACATTCATACACAGAGCCTAAGTGCTCAAACGGAAACTAACATTCACACTCACTCATACACGGCGGAATAGCCGCCAGGGGCAATTCGGGGTTCAGTATCTTGCCCAAGGACACTTCGACACGCAACCAGGGGGAGCCAGGGATTGAACCGCCGACCTTTCGATTAACGGCCAACCCGCTCTACCTCCTGAGCCCTTATATTATATTATATAACCTGATATATTGTGACAATAAATGTACCTACCTACCTATTAGTTTAGCAGGCTGCTAGCGTTGCAAAACATTTTAGAGTGTTTAACAGTGCTGCGAGCCCTCAGAGGTCAGAATCAGTTTTTGGTCTCAGCCCCTGGACGTCAAAGAAAGATGATATGCATGTGTTTTGCACAGAGTTTATATCTAACAGGCCACACCTACAATAACTTGGCAACACTAGGAAGTTACAGGCATATCGGACAGATTTGTTTTTTGACTTATCTAATTTATTAAAATATTATAAACAAATTAGATCTATAGCAGTGGATGGTAGTTCATGTAGGTAAATGCCAAACCTAAGAATCTAGAAACCAACTGACTGATCCTTTAGGTGTTCTATTCCTACATTTACATTATGCCATATTTAAATCCTCATTTTCCCCATAAATGTCCACTGTTTGTTCAACAAATGGCTGGGTTACATTTACATAGTCATCTTCATCATCATCACTGCTTTGGTTTACATTTACATAGTCATCTTCATCATCACTGCTTTCTCCTTCTCTGTTGTCATTTACACCGAAACAGACCACTGTGGCCTTTATAGAATTTGCACTGGGGCCCGCTTCCTCATAATCATGATCTTCATCACTCTCCTCTTCTTCCCCGCTTGTTGCTTCCTCTTTGAGTTTCCCCTTGGTGTATACTGAATCAACATTCACATAGTCCTGCTCATCCTCCTCCTCCTCATCATCTTCATAATCGTTACTGCCTCTGACAGACACTGAAACACAAGCATCAGGACAAAATGTTTCATGATTATCAGAATCAAATTAAAACACACATATTGGATGGAAGTGTATTTTGAGAAAATGAAAAACAAAACAGAAACTTTCTAATGTCATGTACTATGTGTCCTGGTGAGCACACACATTGAGTTTGGAAGATGGTTCCAGGCTGCTTGGCTCGCCGTCTTCTCTTGACAACCAGACAAACCACCAAGACCAGCAGGAGCAGCAGCAGACCCCCACCTGCTACTGAGGAGATCAGCGGCAACAAAGGCACTAGGAGAGAAAACACGTTTTGGGTCGCCTGCCTTTACATGCACATGAAGGTTAATGACATCCTCTTCTTAATCCGTAAGGTTTAACATAGAGATGGCCCACCCTTTGCAGCTATAATGCTGTCCACAAAGTTTAGGAATGTGTTTTTGACAATTCTTCTAGAAGTGCATTTGTGAGGTCAGGCACAGATGTTGGACAAGAAGGCCTGGCTCGCAGTCTCTGCTCTAATTCATCCCAAAGGTGTTCTGTCGTGTTGGGGTCAGGACTCTGTGCAGGCCAGTCAAGTTCTCCACGTCAAACTCGCTCATCCATGTCTTTATGGACCTTGCTTTGTGCACTGGTGGCAGTCATGTTGGAACAGGAAGTGGCCAAACTGTTTCCACAAAGCTGGGAGCATGACATTAACAGTTCCTTTCACTGGAACTAAGGGGACTGAAGAAATGTGACAGAGCAGCCCTCACCCTAAGACCCACACATGCGCACAATTAAGGTTATGGATTATAGGGTATTATTTGTTGGAAACACATCTAGTTTATTCAGGATCGATTTATCAGACAATATGAGCTAATTGCATGTAAATTGGTATCTGCGTTTATAACAGCCAAGACAAATCTTTCTATTATGTCATGAGTGTTGCATAGTTTCACCAGAAGGCGCTCTGCAACTCCCCTGTTGATTGCAGCCCCACAAATCCACCACAAAACAAAACAATCAGCTGACCAGAGTCTCGGTCAGTATTCAGACCCAACAACAGAGTTCACGATGAGTCAGTAATTTGTCACGTGAAATACATTACTTAAATAATAAAAATAGCACTCGTCACTTCTACTATTAGCCCAAATAAGCCTGACAACACTCATGACCACACCGACCCGTCCGTTTTTCATTGACCTCTCCCGGTTTCCTCCCGGGTCACAGCAGTGTGTTTAATGTTACGGTAGTTGGGTGGTGGAGGCTACACTGCTGACAAACGTGGTTGTGGATTTATTTCTGAAACAGTGCGGCAGTTCTAGCAAAGTCCCATCATTTCTCTCTAGTTCATCACTGACTTACTGATTTACTTAAATATTCTCTAATATCGCTTACAACAGCTAACGCTGCCCATTGCTAAATCAAATTAGCCAAAAACCTAGTTAATGCAATGTTTATTAGTGGATGAGCATCAATGAGCGGTTAAATTATAGCATTTAAAAAGCATTTCTTTTTCACTTTAATAGCCTATCGGCATCTGCCCCCAGAAACCCATATGATCAACACCTGTAACGTTATACATCCACCTTCATACAGGATTTACACCACATGATTGCAACAATGCTTTCCTGGACCACAATCTCAATACATTTCCCTGCTTACTGTAAATCACATCATGCAAGCACATACTGCCTCACCTCTAATCCAATTCTATGAATCAGATTCTTCCATAATTCACACACAAACACACAGTAATGTAGCTATGTAACATACATGTGACGTATATGACATAAGTTAACTTATGTCATATACATCACATATATGCTACATAGCTACATTACGCAATTACATACTTATTTTGCAAACCATTATCTTTTTCTAAAACGAGCTAAGTATTTTTGTTGCCTAAAGCTAACCAAGTATTACTTATAATTACTATACATGTATTTGTTTATTATGACGCTGACTGACCCTGAGACGTCACATGTTACGCTGGGTCTGAGACTCTTACAATGTCTGACGAGAAGAATATATTTGTCTGGACATGAAAAAAATACTTTAGAAGAGGCTCGATGTAGAGTGGAGGCTAGAAGATAACGGTATGTCAGCCCATAGGCTGCATTTTCCAATGCCTAAATAATCCGTACTGAATGTCTTACAGTAGCTTTAGCCACACTGGTATGAAATATGCTACACCTGCTAACATGTTAAAGCGCTTAATGCAATTAGCATCACAACTTTTGTAAACTGCATAAAATTGGTATAGTATTAGTCGTATAACATAGTATATTATTATGTTTTATTATTAAAGTCAATGATAAAGTTAATAATTTTAATGGGACAAGGGTCTTCTTCAGTTTAAGCCATTATTACAATGAGCAACAGGTGGCAGTAGCGCTCATGCAGTGGGAGTGGATTCTAGGCACTGTCCAGAAGGAGAGAGGGCTGAGAAACAGCCAAAGAGGAAAAGGTCTGAACAGTCCTCTGGTCAGTCACTGTATTTTTGTAAAAGCTATTTCAAATAACTAAGGGGAGTAATTGTTAGGCGGTTGAGTTCCAATATCAACAATCTCTCTGTACAATCGCTTACTATCTCATATACAGCAACAAAACTTAACACTACCTTTTAAAACTCCATCAGCAACATTTTGAGCTCAGAAACAAAACTGACAATAAACTAGAAAACCGACTGAAAGAGAATAATCACATCAAGCATTTTCCTCTGGTAACATAATGCATTGATCAAAATTCAATAAACATTTATTTAAAACTTTGTATTCAGATCTCCACACTCCTTATCATCACTCTACACCAGAAGATTTTCTCAGGAACGTCTCCCTACCAAAACTAGCCACAACCCAATTATCTTTTTAAAATTACTTCTCATCTTATCTACAGTTCCAGCAGTCCTAACATTGTGAAAGACCCCATGCTATACTCCAGTGTAGCCAGTCAAGGGCCACCACTGTGATGGCTTGTTCATTACAACCATACCTTGTTATTACCAATACATTCAACTGAAAGAAAGCATCAATAGATAAGACAATAGATACTGGTACCTTTGATAGTCAAACTCCTCCACAATATGAAAACTGACCTAACTGAAGCCATCACAAATATATAAACTCTTATAGACACAGTGCTGTCTCTTTTAACAGACAAATGGACAGCTGATTTAAACATCTAACATTAATTGGCAAAGCATATTAAATAACACATTTGTTTCATATAATCAGCTTCCAAACAGTTACTAAATAGACCTTGCCAAGAGATTGTTTAGACAAATTTTGTTTCCAAGGTCAAGAATGATGTGCTAATGTGCAAACAGAATTTATAAAATATAGCAACAGTTAGTTTAAATTCTCCATTCTACTTACTTTTGATGACAACAATAATTGGTGCAGCCGTGGGAGAAGTGTATTTCCGTGTAGACCATGTGACTTCATACACACAGCTGTAGTTGCCCTGGTGTTCGTACTCAGCAGCAGGGAAGTTAAAGGAGGCTGAGTGGTTGACTGCTGGCTTGGGGTCAGTGATGTTGGAGCCAGAGAAGATGAGGAAGAAAACACCAGTGGGATAGTGGGAGGAAGTGGAGCAGGTGAAGACAAAGCTGTCCCCCCTGGTGACCTCTGAACCTCTGTTAGGAGACGTCAGGGAGATGCTGGGCGGCTGCAGACTCACTGGGTAAAAAAGGACAAAGAGAGTCCAAATGTTTCCAGCAAAAACACACCACAGAAATGTTTGACCAGAAAACCAATTTCTTTCCCACAATATATTTAATGTTTAAATTTAACTGTATTTTTTTATCTCCCACCATGATGTTGTAAATACTCTTATTAAGGAATCTACAGTACCAGAAATGTCTGAAATCTCTGAATTTGATTGATTGAACGTTATATTTCAAGATACTGGGCTATATTTTATTATTATTTCACAGTGCATCGCTGAGAATAAATTGTTCGGAAAACCACCCCTGTGCTGTTGTGTTGTTTTGTTTGAAATTTAACTGTGTTGTAAATAAAATTAAGACTAGGTCACCTAGCTGTTGTTGTGACCATTTTGAGGTTGTTTTCACCTAGCTCATTGGGCGCCATTTCTATTATTATTATATTTCTAAAATGTCATGTAGCCAATGCAGCGCTACAAAGATCTCAGTTATTATGGACCTTAATGGACCAGTCTGATGTTTGTGGGGGTGTGTGTGCTTATTTTGTAGCATCAGGATGTAATTTGCTCGTGATTTAGTCAAGATAAACACAGTGGCTGTCACGACTTCAGCAGGTTCACTCTCCCTGACATTACAGACCCTTTCACTCCCTGCTGCCCTGCATTTCCCTTCACCTGACCTTTTCACTCATTCACATCTTATTTCTGATATAGTGAAAAGTGAAGTTAAAGGTTAGTTCAAAGCAGGTGCTAGTTGTTACACCACCGCAAAATTGTGGCAAAGATTTAATGGTCTCACCATATTACTGTACTTTTTTCTTTTTTTAAATTAATGCAATGCTACTCTCTACTTATTTGTTGTGTTTACATTATATTTATTTGTCTTACCAGTAACAGAGAGTCTGACAGAGTCACTTAAAGGGGAGCTGAAGTTTCGTCTTGAAACACTTGTCTGATACTGACACTGGTACGATCCTTCGTTATCAAAGTTCACTTTAGGTATAATGAAGGTAGCAGAGTTGGTACTTGATGTTTTGGTCGTTCTGAATGAGCCTGAGGTCTGCTGCAGGAGGAATGTTCCACCTAAATGCTGAGTTGAGATCAAACAAGTGATGCTGACGTCCTGACCCCAGGTAACCTCACCAGCAGGATTCATGGAGATGTTGGGCTTTGGAAGTCTCACTGAAAAACAACACAATATTAGAGCAGTAAATGGACTGACTTTGAGTTACACGTTTTTCTGCTTTTATAGTTCGCTAAATTTTATTTATGCCCAAGGAATAGTTCACCATTAAGGGAAATAAGCCTTTTAAGTTTTTCGTTCCCCTCTGGTTGCCTTCAGTAAGTTACTGCTGTTTCCTGGTTTCCAGTCTTTATGCTAAGCTACACTGACTAGCTGCTGGCTGTGGCTTCATATTTAAAGGACAGCTATGAGATGAGGATCAGTCTTATCTAACTCTCAATATAAGAACAAAATTGTTTATTTCCCAACATGTTGAACTATTTATTTAAACAAGTGAATGAAACAGATTCATTTCCTTACCAGTAACAGAGAGTCTGACAGAGTCACTTAAAGGGGAGCTGACTTTTTCACTTGAAACACTTGTCTGATACTGACACTGGTACGATCCTTCGTTATCAAAGTTCACTTTAGGTATAATGAAGGTAGCAGAGTTGGTACTTGATGTTTGGGTCTTTCTGAATGAGCCTGAGGTCTGCTGCAGGAGGAATGTTCCACCTAAATGCTGAGTTGAGATGGAACAAGTGATGCTGACGTCCTGACCCCAGGTAACCTCACCAGCAGGATTCATGGAGATGCTGGGCTTTGGAAGACTTACTGAAAAAACAACACTATAATATTAATGAATTTGTTTAGATATTTGACTTTGCCTGTCTTTTTTCAATAAGCATGTAGTAGACACGTCACTTCACACCGCACAGAAACACTGTTGCAGGCAGGTGCAAACTGATGCACATAGACACCTGGGTTGGGCGCAGGTCAGACACTGCCTGGCTTTGGTGACCAAGCATCTCTGTTACAGATGGAAATTAAATTAATGTTACAGAGAGAGAGAGAGAGAGAGAGAGAGAGAGAGAGAGAGAGAGAAGGGGAACAGAAATGTATTCATGTAATGTAATTCAATTTAATTCAATGGAGCGTATTAATGCAAACTACTAAAAGTGACAAGCAGAGTGTTGCTGGGACTCAAACAAAGTCTTCAAAAAATTTGGGAAAACACTGTGAAATATAGTGGTGTTATTTATTACGCCGGTCTGCCAAGGTGCAAACAGTGAAGATATAGTGCAAAAAGAAAAGACAACTGACAACAAATAAACAAATAGAATACTCTATATGTTGACAAAATAATTTGGAAAGGGGAGTTCTTCAATAACTCAACACATGTTTGGACACAAAAACAATGTGCTACCCAATCTGGCAGTCCACTAGCTGTTACTTCCTCTGTAACCAAGCCAAGACTCACTTCAAAGGGCCCAAGGCCGGCACTTTTAAAGCCCGTAGCCCCGCCCACTAGGCTTGAAAATACCATAAACCCATTTTTATACCAGATAAAAGATGTACATCTTTTTATATTCAATATATTTTTCATACATATCTCCACATAAATTTTCCTTCAAGTCATTTGCCAAAAAACCTTATTTTTTCTCAATTGCTTGAACACTATAACCAGTCTATTGAACTAAAACTTAACTCCATTATTCAAAAAGCACGCCCATTTCTCTAAACTCTACAAACAAATCCTTTCATTTCTCATTGCCTATCGTTGAGAAAATACTAACATTCAATATTGTTCACTCAATCAGCACAGGTTGAGCTCGATTAGCACACAGCTACCCAGGTGGAAACACAAACACGATAACACGCCAATCAGAAGCTTCAATAGAAAGATAAAAGGGCCAGAGTCAGTTCATTCAGTTTAGGAACAATGGATCTAGAGAAATCTGAAGGAAGACAGAGAGAGGACACCAGAGAGGAGGAGGAGGAGGAGGAGTAAGAAGAGCAATATGGAGAGAAGGAAGAGCTAAAGGAAGAGGAACAGTAGGAGTTGAAAGAGGAAATGGAATAGGAGGACGATAAGGAGGTGGAGGAGGAGGAGAACAATAAGGAATTTCTTCACAAATTTTCTAGCTTTTTATTATTGTTTGTGCCCAACTTTGACAACATTTTCATCCTTGGTTATTTTAACATTCATGTCTGTTGCCCTTCAAAGTCGGTTAAAGTTGGTTAGCCAGTTTCTGCAACTCGTGGACATACACATCATCTGGTTTTATCATTAGGTTTTGTTGAGCTGGATGATACTATCTTATCTGATCATAAACCTGTCATCTTTCCTGCCTCACTCTCATGTCCTTTACCAAAACCTAAAATGCCAGATCGCTATGTTCCGGCACTTAATTACTCCACAGCTAGGCTATTCTCTGATGCCTTTATGACTTCGCCTTTTGCTAAACTTACAGAGACATGGGCAAAGAGGCACTAGTCACTCTGTTTAATACCACTGTCACAGACATCCTTGACACCATTGCCCCACTCAAGCTTAAGAGATCCAAAGTCAAAGCTCAGCCTTGGCTTAATAGTGAGACCCGTGCCCTTAGGCAGGAATGCAGGAAGGCAGAGAGGAACTGAAAAAGAATAAACTGCAAGTGTCCTACGAAATATTGAGAAACCGCATAACATCTTACCAATGCCTGGTCAAAGTCTCAAAAGCAAAGTATTTCTCTCATATCATTGCTAGAAATGCACACAGCCCTAAGACCTTGTTCAGTGTAATAACACTACACTAAACTATGCTACTGCACTCCCTGATGCTACCTCTGAAATTACAGAGAAGTTCTTGAGGTTTATTATTGATAAGGTTGACATCATTAGATCATAGTCCCATGCCCTGTCTCTTTAAATTATTTTCAGCTTGTGGCCTTTTCTGAACTGATCGATATAGCCTCACTCATGAAGCCTACTTTTGCTCCTACAGACACTGTCCCCTCGCGTCTTTTAAAAGAGATTTTAGATGTTGTTGCTCCTAGCCTTTTGTCTATAATAAATAGCTCTCTTATAAATGGAATTTTTCCATCCACTTTTAAACATGCTGTGGTTCAGCCTCTTATTAAAAAACTCAATCTTGACCCTATGGATTTTAATAATTTTAGGAAAAAATTTAGGAACTAGGTAACAATTCAAAATATATAAATATGATAGAATATAATGCAGTGAGACTCTCGGGCATTCTTTATTGTGCTTAAATATGTTTTACCTGTAGTCAAGTAATTTAATATCATCCCTGCTGAGTCAACACACATGATTTAGTCTTCCCTCCTCGTTTGTGTCTTTTGTAAGTATATTCTTTAAATGTGAGTGTTGCACCTTTTCACCAAAACGAAACTAACCTGTGATCAGGCACACAAATCCACACACGTTAACTTCAGCTCATCTGATAAAGTGCAGCTCACAGTCCCAAACAGAGCAAGGCTGCGCCTCAGTTTTTGACATTACATTTTTATATAAATACTCTTCGAGTCACATTACATCATTAAGTGGGTCCACTTAACGGCACTTGCTGGTGTCGCATCAGGTCTTGGACGCTGGACGAAGTTGCTTTCAGGGCAAGTCCAACATTATATATAAATGTGTTACATAACAAGGCGTTCACGGTGTATTCTTTAGAGAAATTAGAGAAGTGAACGCCATGTGTTGATTGTTGGTTTGTCTTTCTAGTTTAGTTAGCTAAGGTAACTTGGTTGTAGTTAGCCAGGTGTAGTTAGCTAGTGTAGTTATTGCAGAAATTTAGCTAACAGAGGGTCTTCATTTTATTTTTTAGTTTCTCCTCTTGGTTTAGTGTGCTGTTCATTTTCATTATGGCATTTATGCGTGCGGTGTTGGAGAACAGATGACAGAAAATGCGTCGCACTTTCACCTGCCACCGTCTTATAATACAGTCTGCAACATGCATTTTACTGAGGGCCGTTTTACCGATGCATCGTCGGAGGGACCCCCCACACCCCCGCGGTAAAGTAAGCGCACCATAAACGTAGTGTGAGTTCTCATGTACAGTGCGGACCATCGCCTGTATGATTAATAACAGCTGATGCCAGACAGTACAATGTACTAAACTTTACAGTGTAGTGATGTTAACACAGCATTTCATTTGTGAACACTCCAGCCGGTCAGTTTTTGGTTGTCATGGTAATGTATTACGTCCGATTATTAACCACACCCCCCATTCTCTGTTTGAGAAAGAACGTTAACAAAAAACGGCAGTTAAAACTGGCTGCAGGGGGGCTTTAATTTTCATTAGTAGTAGTACTCTGTAATTTATAATCAATCAGATATTTTAAAATGTTTTCTGTAGTTTTATAAATTTGACCCTTATTTATAAAATCTTTAATATTTTTGTTGTACTTTTGTTCAAAGTACTATTTCTAACAATAACAAAGTTTCTTTTTAAATTACAAAAACTGCATTACTTTTCATGTTTCAGCTCTACCTGCATACAGTAGACGATGAAATCCATTGTTTTTTTTAATTCAGTTTCCTTTTACTGTAAACCACCCTACATTTTTGACTTGAGGGTCGATTGTCTGCCTTTTTGGCAATAAACTATGTAAAAGTGTCAGCTTTACTTTATAGAATGTAGAGTAGGAAAAATATGTAAGTGACAGAACTACAGAAGTAAAAGCTTTATTAGCAACATGAAATTGCAGCCAGTGATCAACAATTAATCCAACCTATGTGGCTTTTAGTTCAAAATGTGTAAAAATACTGTCAAATACTTTTATGTTCCTTCTTGGCAACTTCGCTCCTCCAACAAACGCCGTCAGTAGATCCATTACAGTGTTTCCCATACGTTCATTTATTTGTGGTGGCCCGCCACAATATCAACGCTGACCGCCCCACATTGATTTTAGATTCTTTCTTCTTTTTTTTTTTTTTTATCGTATTTGATTGCAGGGCGCCGTAGCGCATTCACGCAGCACTTCCTCTCGCTCGTCCCTCTCACTCTCTCACTCACCCGTACCTCTCTCTCTCTCTCCCTCATGGAACACAGCTGCACAAATCTGTCCAACATAACACTGTCAATGTCGGAGACCCCGCTTAAAAAAAGTTATTAGCAAGCATGTAAAGAGCCTAGCTAATAAGGAGAGCTAAGTTAATGTTATAATACAGCTGGATTTTCGAGGCTAGCACGCTGTATATAGCTGGTAGTCAATATCAATGCACCCACGTGAGCGCGCACTCATGCTAAGAATAACTTAGCATTTTATAAATGGGTTAATTGACTGCATATTGTGTGAAAACAACATGAATTGTGTTAATGGTATGGTATGAACAAACCGATGTGGAGCTACCTGTGTTTAGAGCTTTGAAAATGTGACTACAGATTGGACAAAGGTGTTGGAAAAAGATGTTAGCAGTTGTAAAAAAAACACTGGTACTTGAGACACAATGACAGCACCCTGTAATTCATGTACCAACACCCTGAAACAATCCTGCTAAAATGCATGCACATTTCCTGCTAAACCACACTTTTTTCAAAACACTTCACACAGTTCTAGTAGATTTATGTAAACTGTCTTTCCATATATTTCAGTCTGGTTGATGCAGAAATGGAGACATTTGCCATCTTTCTGTCTTGACTGTATTTTAACAGTTTTGGACACAGTGTGTTAGCTATTGAAAAATGTGCTGCAGATATAGTGTTTTGCAGGTGGTGGAGTAGTAATGAGAAAAGACTTAATGGGATTTGGAGAAAGTGGTCATAGAATGCATCTTGTGTTAAAGCAATGAAAAATGGTTCACAGTTTGGTCCACTTACACTTCTGTTTTGCGGACTGTGTGAAGAGTTAAGACAATGTGACTTCAGTTTGGACCAATATACTGTATGTTACTCTATGTCTCTCGGTTTACTTTTGATTCGGATGTGTTTTGGTATTTTCTATTAATTAATTTGGAGTGTTTCTTCTTATGTTTGCACTTTCACTCTATGTGGTGTATTTTTAGCCATGCTCGCAGCTTGGCTCTGTGGCTGGCTATGTCAGTCTGTCAGTCCACCACTTTGGTTCATATTCTCTACAACAACTAGATTACCCTGAAATGTGGTTAATATGTGGACTATAACTTACTTTTCAGCCAGGTCAGAAATGTAATTTATTAATTGAAATATCTCCACATCTACGAGAAGGACAGGCAAGAGTTTAGTCCAGACATTCATGTTTCCCAGAGGAAATAACATAGCACCTTGACTTTCCTTCTAATATGATCAGCAGGTGGACATTTGTGGTTCAGACTGAGATGTCATGACAACCGTTGGATGGATTACCATGCAATTTGACATAGCCATTCATGGTATTTGTGAATTTATAATCATCAGACAGTTTGTTTTTCTTTATAATGATCATTACAGCCTCACAGAGTCACTAGCATGGATGTAGACTCTATTTTTGTCTCTTTTGTAGTGCATTCTGCTTATGTGGATGGTTGATGATTTGAGGAATGTGTGAATCCTCCGTGCCGACACTCAGAGACCTTTTACTTCCTGAACAGCCCACATCATCAAGCCGGATTTGACCAGTTCCTTGACCAAAATGAGCCGACTGAGTGGCATTCAGTGCTGCACCACAGACCAGCTCCCTGCACACCACCTCAACATCATTTAAGTCCCAGCTGTCATCACAGACTGTTCCCCAGGTGTTGTTGTAATAAATTTCAACTCTTCCAGAGCACTGAGTAGACCCAGACCCAGCTAGTCTGATACCTAGTCTCAGAACACAGAAGACAAATCAGTGCTGGATAGAACATGTGTTTGTTTGTCATTTAGTCATGACAGAAATCTTTACTGTAAGACAAATTTGGCAAAGGTTATGATTCATTATACTTTGCATCACCCATACAGACTGTGAGAAATATAAAACACTTTTCACAGTAGATCAAACACTCGATGAACTTCATCACCTACATTATAGTTTCATTTACTGTATTGAGCAACATTTCCCACTTGTTATTCTGCTCTTCAATTCTAAAAGCATTCTGCAGGGTGTGGTTAGAAGCTCATATAGTGCTGCATCTGAACAGTGTTACATTTCACACCACAATGACTCGGTGACAGAGCTGCTAAAATACACAGAAAAGGATACATTTATTCAAAATACTTTATCTGAAATGTTTTCTCACCTGAACAGACCACACCAGCATCCTCACCGTGGTTACAGTCGTGTGACCCAAATCCTCCGTGCCGACACTCAGTTAGAGACCTTTCACTTCCTGAACAGGCCACCTCATCAAGCCAGATTTGACCGGTTCCTTGACCAAAATGAGCCGACTGAGTGGCATTCAGTGCTGCACCACAGCCCAGCTCCCTGCACACCACCTCAGCATCATTTAAGTCCCAGCGGTCATCACAGACTGTTCCCCAGGCGTTGTTGTGATAGATTTCAACTCTCCCAGAGCACCGAGTAGACCCGGACCCAGCTAGTTTGATGACACCTATCAGGCATGTAAGAATTTTTTAAACACAAGTAAACTGAAAACTAAAAATACTTTATGCATGACACAGGAGAATGAACTGACCTGCAGCAGGTGAAGAAGCGGTCAGGAGGAAAAAGACTGTGGAACAGAAGAAATGACATGGCTCATTACATTCAGTAAACTGAAAAGTGCAGAATTAAAGTTTGCCTTGCTTCTGTTTTAGATTCCCTTGTTAATTTCAATGAAAATTTAAATGAAAAATTGGCCTTGAGAGGATTCTGTTCTATACAATACAATAACTCTGCTTAACAAAAAAAAAACTGCTTTTCAAAGATTTTGGAAATTTTGTGGATAAAATTTTAGAAAGTCGGTCTTACTAAGGGCCAAATAGTGAAGGTTTCTCTGCTGTATGCTCCCCATAGCTGACATGACGGCTGCTCTGTGTCAATTATCAGTACCAGCACAGATGAACTAAAAAATGCAGTGCACAGAAACATTTAAAACAGCTTGCCCTTCCTGAAACACTTCTTCTTTCTGGTGATTTTTTTCAACAAAACTAAAGAGTAGCCTACTAAAAGTGAGAAGCTCTAAACCACCAACCAAAAGCTGCAGCTCTGAAGCATCACTTCTATCACTTCTGGATATCGAAATTGTTGTTGAGCAACACAAAGATCTTTATCTCCACCAGATATGTTTCCATTCTGAGTATAAACCCATGCACAGCACTAAGTGAATACATTTAGAGGTAATAGCTATCTGTTTTTATGTAGCATCTAATTCTTTAAAAAAATAATAAAGTAGTCACTGGTATTTTTCCAACTGTGATCTGATTTTATGAGACACACGAGTCTGCAAGAAGTGAAAGGAGTTGGTACCTCACTGAAAAGTTGGATGTGGGCAGCCAAATGCCACTGAATCTGACAGGATTACGGCTGCGCAGCGGTTGCCAGAGCTATTTGCGGCCATAGTTAATGCTTGTGAGTCTACCAGACGAGGCCTCAGCGCGTCCCAGAAACAGTTCTCCGCTCTGCAGAGCAGATCAAAATGGGCAGAAAGTCAGAAACAGAAAGGCATAGATAAACTTAATTAATTAATACTTAATCATAGCAGAAGCACAAAAAGCAAGCACTGATTACAGAATCAACAAAAATCTAAACATGTCAGCAAAATGCTTGGATTCTGAAATCCTTATTGTGGGATATGCAGCCTGCAGACAACAGAACAAAACATGTTCACTGAGAGCTGTGAAGACGTTAGTAGAAGCCCAAATCTGACCTGGTACAGGCTGCACGCTCAGCTGCTGAAAGGACGGTAGAAAACCGTGGCACAGCCGGAGTCAGTGGACTTTCTGAGTAATGTCTGCAACTCTTTTGCCAAATAGGAAGCAAAAATCCTCAAATTAATATATCCACCATCAAATTTATGGGGCACATTCAGCCAACGACAAAACATTCATTTAATCGTTTAATTTCATTTACATTAAATTATACCTCACTTTTAAGTTAAAAAAGAAATGAATGATTTGTTGACTACAGTTAAGATCAGAGGAATATGTGCTGAAGGATTATCACAGACTTTTAGGGGTGACCAAGGATTGCTTATGGTTAGAACATTTTTGACATTACTGTCTCTGTCTTGGAACTTTTTGAAGCCAGTGGGTGCAAAATGAGACACAATCTAGTTATTAAATGGTGTAGCACAATAGTGACAGGCTTCATGGGCCCACAGATTACAGGTCATACACCGAACCTGACCTTCTTGGCTTTGAATTATTAAAGTGTTCCATGCACACAATTAAGAAATTCTCACCAGCATCTGAGGAATTTGTGTCCCGTGGATTCATGTTATGCATGTTTTGATTCTTTCCTGATGTTTTCTTATACAGACCAGGTCGTCACTGGTTTGTGTTGATTTGACTGGTTTGTTGCCCAGACTTTCTTTAGCAAGCACCATTTCCAACAGTTTTTAATATCTTCCAGTCAAGATTTCAACTACAACACAGCACTGAGACGGCTGTTGTTAAGGTCTTCAGTGACATCAATATAAACACAGACAGTGGCAGAATTTCAGTCTTAGTATTGTTGGACGACAGAAATCGGAGCATTTCCGCAGGTCAAGTGAGTTAGGATTAAGGGTGTAACGATTCACTAAACCCACGGTTCAGTTCAGACCTAGATTTTAGAGCCACGTTTTGCTTCATAACAAATTTTTTCTCCCAGTTTTTTTGATTGAGGGGGGACATTATTATTATTATTATCATCAGAGACGTTTTATAGAGGAGACACCCCACTTAATCACATCCACTTTTAAACCTTATTTTGGGGCAAAGTTGTCAAACTTTTTCAGCGATTTTTATCAGATTTTACTGGTGATTCTGTTCCTGTAGTTTTTATGTCCCGGTGACCAGTGAAAGGCTCTCTCCCCATTCATTCAGATAGGAGCCTGGTCTTGTTAGTCCGAAATAGCTGCCCGGAGGCGTTGCCAAGATGGCTGCCAAGTGACATGACTTGCCCACAAGGACTTATTATTTTTATTATTACTATTATTATTTTCCATCTAGGGTTAATTAAAGTACACCAACTTGCAAGCATGATCACTCAATCAATGTGATGCTGTTGACCAGTTGGCTGGGTTATAGTCATTTTCATCATCACCGGTTTCTTCTTCATCTCCTTGTTCCACTTTGTTCTGTTCATTTATATTAACAAAAACCTCTGCAGCATCTATATAATTGTCTGAAAGCTCCTACTTGCTCTGTCTGTTGGCTCATGGTGTCCACTGGCTCAATGTTCACATAGTCCCTCTCCTTCTCATAGGCATCCTCATGACTGTTCCTGACACTCACTGCAACACAAGCATCAAAACAAGTCATACATGTGAACTAAAATCATTCGGCAACAGTCTTCTAAAAGAGTCTAATAATGTCATGTACTATGTGTCCTGGTGAGCACACACTGAGTTTGGACAATGGTTCCTGGCTGCTTGACTCGTCTTCTTTGCCTGAAGACCAGGCAGACCACTACCAAGACCAGCAGGAGCAGCAGCAGACCTCCCCTGCTACTGAGGAGACCAGAGGCAATGAAGGCACTAGGAGAGAAAAACAAAACAGTTTTTCCTTAAAAATATGCATCATTTCTTCATGCTTTGGCTGGTGCAATGAGCAGATGAGTAAGCTATAACTGAGCCCTGTATTTTACACCTTTACACCAAGTCATGCTGCATGAGCTATTAGCACTTCCTACACTATGCAGACTACTGTCATCAGATCACTAAAGATGATGATTACTTAGCAAGATGTGAAGTTTTAAAACACTGATTTATATACAGACTGATGGATATTTATTCTTTTTGCTGATCTAGCAGAGTGTATATGATGTCATGATGTCAGTGCATTTCATTTTAATCAGTACAGTCTCCAAAGGAATTTTGTCTCTATTGCACGATTCCACACCTTCAGACTGAGATGTCTCGACAACGACTGGATGGATTACCATGCAGTTTGGTGTCGTTGCTGTGAACTTTACAGCTGGTGCTGTCGTCAGACCAAAATTCCTATTTGTCAAAGCCTGTAGATTCTCAGGCCTGTTTTTCTTAACTATGAGCATTTCAGCCGCACAGAACCACATGGCTGTAGACTCTTAGGATGTTTAGGATTTGGAGGGTCACCTCAATTCACTTTTGTATGTTTTGTGACAATCACTGCATTTTTGGATTTGGAGTGCATTTCCTCTTGTGTGTTGTTCTTATGGGGTTATTCCTTTTGACCCCAAACCACTTAAACATGTGGTGTATGAAATTTTGGACCATAACTTCCCCGGATCCCAATTGTCTCAGGACCCCAACAACCTATCATGACACCCTGCCCCTCGCTGTTCATCTGACACCCCATACCTAAAGGAGGCAGTAAAAGTATAAGCTCTTAAAATAGCTTACAAAGGAGGCTAGTTTTTACTGCCAATTAGGCTGTTGTTATTGTTGTTGTTGTTATTATTAGTAGTAGCACTAATAGTGTCATTATTACTGCTTTAATTGCTACATATAAGAGAAAGACACAAACCATTGCTGGATTGCTGTGAGAATGATATAACACTTTTTACAGTAGATCAGACACTTCTTCACTTACATCACAGTTTAATTTATAGTGTATTCAGTCCACAGGTGTGTTGCCCAAATCCTTGTCCTTTCACTTCCTGAACAGGCCACCTCAGGGTCCGCTAGCCATAACAAAGTTAAGAACAAAGTTTTGGTAATAACAATTTGCCATTTTAGTTAGCCTACGCTATGAGAATATAGAAAGGGAGCACTGTCTTTTTTATCTCTTTCCCACACATGCACATACAACCTCATGGCCGCTGATATCTCTCCCTCATCAAACCCCCCTCAGCCCACCGCCGACGTCGCAGCATTTATTATTCGCTGTTAATAAAGCTCAAAAAATTATATTTGAGCCAGCCCTAACACTTTTCACAGTAGATCAAACACTTGAACTTCTTCACTTACCATACGGTTTAATTTACAGCGACATTTCACAATTATTAGGTTCTTCAATTCTAAAAGCATTCTGCAGGATGTGGTTAGCAGCTCTTTTCAAGTTCTGCATCTGAACATCTCTTACACACACCACAATGACTATGTGACAGAGCTGTTAGAATATATAGAAAATTATACATTTATTTAAAATACTTTATCCTAAAAATTTCTCACCAAAACAGACCACACCAGCATCCTCACTGTGTCCACAGTTGTGTGTCCCAAATCCTGTGCTGACATTCTGTTAGAGACCTATGTTATAGGAATAATGTTTTGTCTTTTTTTTTTTTTGCGTTTTTTTAATTGTCTTAGCTTTTTATCTGGGTCATTTTGTGGTGGCTGGTTCTTCTGCAGTACAAAACTTTAGTTCCAGCTCAGTGTCCACTGAGCCCTTAAGCATCCAGCTAACACTGAAGCAAAAAAATTACTGTGCGCTACAGTGCTGCAGTTTAAAGTAATCTGTAAAAAAACTGATCAATGAACAGTAACCTTTCATATTGTAATCGCACAGATTGAACATTCCTCTTGTAGTTATCAGCTGGATATGATGTGATGATATGATGTATTTCATAAAACACAAAATGAGCAAGATTTTATTAATGGGACATAGACGTCTAAAACTTCACAGTCAGTTTGAACCTAGACACATTTTACATATAAAAATCATTAATAGACCTACTGAGTCGGACTGTCACTTTACAATCACAGGTCCATGAGGAGCCTAAACTGTGTCTAATTTGTTTAATATTTTCATCTTCAGTTATTGCCACCGACATTTAGTCCCGTCAGGTTCCAGCTGAATAAATGAATATTTATTTATTTATTTCAAATGAATAACAGGCTGGAGGAGAATTCCTGCACTTTATCAATCATTTAGGGAATTCCAGTCTGGTAAATAATGAATGAGTAATGCTGTATAAAATGTAATGTTGTTAACATATCGATCC